AGGCTTAGGACACATGAACCATGGAAGCTTCCTCCTTAATAGCTAGCTTTCAAAGACCTGTCAGCTCCATGTAAGCTGCTAGAGAAGAAAAGGAGTCACCAATCAAACTGTTTTCGTCAAATTTACCAACTGCAAACTAAATGAATGATGGGCTTGAGAACATGTATTCATTGACAAGAGTGGCATGCATATCAGCCCAGTAACCAACTACGTTGCCCTTGAACTTAAAGTCCTGCTCCACAAGAGGAACTTCACACCTGGCACCATTATTTGTCCTAGTGTCTCTATCTAGATCATCCATAAGCCATACAAGAAAACATACTAATATCACGCTGCTAAATAGACATACTAACAATCTCAATAACTTAACAAAAAACCCATAGATCATTAGACATTAGCCTAAGACATCCCTATGTGTGATTGGTGGTGACCAACAACTGGCCAATGTTCAGAGAACTGTAGAATACTCAGCCTTAAAGGAAAAATATATATCAACAAAATCTCTCTCAAGTTTCTGAGGTCATCACAAAAGAGTGTGGCACAAAGGCTGCTGAATGACTGATTCTTAGGAAACATTATCTTCTGGACATTGCAGGATAGACACACATATGAGCTCACAGAAGTCATGAACACAAATCCTTTACCAGCTTAACCATACCAAATCCCAGCATGGGGAAGGAAATTTAGCACACTATGTCTCCCCAAGATATGGAGCTATTGACAACTGCTAGCTATAGGAAAAGACAGTTTTCCCTAATAGTGTAACCCCTGTGAGGTCAAGCACTCACCAGTGGAAAACCACACACCCAAGAATATTTAGACAACAGACACTGGTCTTGAAGAATTAAAAAACAAAAGAAAGAATGAGAAAACACAGCCATAAATTTTAAGGGTAGGGGATGTGGCTGAGTTGAGAAAATTGGAGAGTGAATATGATCAAAAGTTCTTTGACTAGAAGTCTCAAAAATAAAATTAAATATCAAAAAATTAAAAGTATTATTGCCTATAGTCAAGAATTTCACCATTACCTGGTCCTTTCCAGACACATTAAACCCAGTGGCATTGAATTTTTCATTTTTATTTTTACACAGAAAATAACAAATTTATGCTAAATTTAGAGTAGTTAAAACACATTGTAATATTAAAGTGTTTTGTACTTTTTTATTTTATGAGATTTAAAAGTACATTGTCATTTGAACAGTTTCTATTTTCAAAGACATGAATTCACTGCATCTTATAGAGGAAACATTTTATGTCATCACAATTGGTAACTTATGCCCATTAAAGGACACATTTTCCCAGATTACAAACCAAACGCTTTATATAGATTATCTTCTCCTATAAGAAAATATAACCTAAACCTTTCTCAAGAAACTGAGTTAATAATTTTTAGTATCCATAAACTAAAAAATTACAATATAACCAACTAATAATTACTCTATCCTCATTTCTAAGATGTACAGAACAGTGATTTAAACAGCAGATGCTGAGTGAGGGAGAAACAGAGCTAGCTTATGTCAAAACTGAATGAGAATAAAACTGTAAGCAGGATGAAGTTAAAGCCTGGATGTATAGAGTACAATGCAGAGTCACCAGGGATTTTAGGGTGACATTGAGGCAGTGGATGGAAAGGCAGAGTCCTGCTTCCTCCATCTTGTGTGCTTTGTCAACTTCACTGGCAACTATTCCTCTCAGCACACAGATGTTTGTCTCAGAGGGAAAGGTTGCAAGTGAGAGTTTGTGCTGCTTGGCCAAAGGATACCACATGAAGGTCTCAGTTCTGGAAGGGATGCCAACCACCAATCTCATGAATATACTGACGAATTTCTCTATGCCAGTCCTAACTTGTATTGAACAAATTATTTTTCACACAACATGCTTTAAATCTAGAACCTTGGTCAGTAGACAGTGATATGAATGTTATAACTGAAATATTTTTACTTCATTACTAATCACTAAAACTCTAAAGCAGATCAAGTACGGCAAATCCAAAGCAACAATTCTTTCACCTATTCCAAACAGCCTGGCTTTCCAACCAATCACCCCAGAGCAACAGGACTGTAATTAGCCAATTACTCACTGGCTTCCCAAACTGATCCTCACAACAAAACACCAGAATCAAAACACAGTGCAGAATCTTCTCTGATAAAAGATAAAAATCTTATTTTGAACCTATTTTTCAGCATTTACCCCAAAGCCAGCTTGACCAACATTCTTTTGGAACTCACGCCTAAGAATACTTGGCTTACCTTGTTTGTAGATAAATATTGACCACGGAGACTTCAAATACCTACAGCCCTCATTGACATACGTCAGCGGGATGGTGGCTGATCTGTTTTAGTGTGACACTTTTGTAAAGTTGCTGTAACAAATGTGCTGGTATTTTCTCCCTTCCTTCCTTCCTTCCTTCCTTCCTTCCTTCCTTCCTTCCTTCCTTCCTTCCTTTCTTCCTTCCTTCCTTCCTTTCTTCTTTTCCTCCCTCCCTCCCTCCCTCCCTCTCTCCCAGTCTCTCTCTCTCTCTTTCTTTCTCTCTCTTTGTGTGTCTCTCTCTATCTCTCTCTGTGTGTATATCTGTGTGTGTGTGTCTCTCTCTGTCTCTCTCTCTGTGTATGTCTCTCTGTGTGTAAGTGTCTCTCTCTCTCTCTCTTTTGGCTTATCTCATTTGAGCACATTCCCAACAGTTTTGTTTTGAAAGAAACTGGCCCAAATCGAACTATTCTAGAAATAATACTTTAAAATATGCACTAGGCCAGTGGTTCTCAACCTTTTTAATGCTGCAGTCCTTTTATATAGTCTCTTATGTTTTGGTGACTGCCAACCATAAAATTACGTTTGTTGCTACATCATAACTGTAACTTTCACACTGTAATGAATCATCATGTAAGTATATATTTCCAATGGCCTTAGGCGACCCCTGTGAAGGGGTCATTCAACAGCCAATGTAGGGGTCACAATCCATAGGTAGAGAACGGCTTCCTTGGACCATTTCACTAATACATGTACGTTCCTTTTCATTGTAAGAGTTTTATGAATGTGAGGATCAGAAGTATGTTATGTACATGTATATGCAATTAACAAATGATAGTTTTTTAAAACAAGAAAAAAAGAAGAGTTTAATGAAAAGCAGTTTTTGGCTGAACATGATTCAAAGTAGCAAACTCAAGACTCAGAGACAGAACAGACCAAACTGGAATAAGTCTCACCCTCTGTGATAGTGCAGCTGATGGTTAGACAGTCCAAGTGACTGAGTGAGTTCTTCATTTATTTAAGCTGCTTAAATTGTTGTGCTGGAACTCAACCATATTGTGGTTTTAAAAGACAAGATGTGAGCACACATGTAGAATTTAAGCCAGATCAGCTGTGAAGTCCTTATGACTTCTATTTCTAAAGACACCCATAAAAGAGGAAATAACATTTTAAAAAGGAAACAGAGAGGAACGGGTAAAGTTTCCATTAACTTAATCACAAAGCACAGCATAGGGAATTATGCTGGGACTACAACTTACTCTCAGAAAAGATAACATATGGTGTGGCTACAAACACCATTTCTTTTAAGTTTTCAGTGTACCAACATATCATTGCACTCAATTGGAAAAATTAGGAAGTATATGACAATAATAGATATTACGGTGGCTGAATTATAGAAATACTATAAAATTTAATATTATAAAATAAAAACATTGAAGTACTGAAAGCCTTCATATGAAAATGTTCTTTAAGAATAAAATAAGACAACTACAAAAAATAAGGAAAATTATGAACATCTTTTTCTTCAACCTCTAATTAGCTGAGTTTTCACTGGTGAGAAGTACATCCTAATCACACAAAATAATTCTACTCAAACAATGCATGACAAGGCACTCTGATCAGCAAGATGCACCTGAACAGCAGGCTGCAGAAATATGGTCTACTTGCATTGATTCAGGATATCCACTCCATCAATCATTCAACTGTATCACATTGTCAAAATAGCTACTGAAGACTGAGAAAGTCACAAGCTGTTATTCTCCCCATGACAAAAATATATGTATGATATGAAAAATGATATGAAATAGTATAAAATTCAAGTTTAAATCAAGAGCATAATATCCCATTATCTAAACACAATGATTTTGAGACTTGAAGCTGTGATTAAAGTTCTAGAACTATTAAGATTAAAAGATAAAATCCATAGGGAATATGTTGTATTTTAAACAAGTTACATTAAAAGCACCATAGATAATTTTTATTAAATACTATTTTCTATTTATTGCTGTCAATATTCTGACTTCACATTGGTAAAATAGCAGGTTATCTTATAAAACTTGTCTAGTAAATAAAACAGATATTTTACTAAGATTAAAGTTTTTCTATATTCCTCTTTAAAACTAAGGATCTCAATTTTGACTCTATCTTCCTTCTCATAACACTGTGTATGTCTGAAGTGAACTGATTGTCACCTTAAAAAATGGATACATTCTTTTCTAAAATAAATCATTCAATTAAAATGTACTCAGAGACACTATTCTTAATTATTTAAGGGGCCACAGGAAAAGACAAAAGAGAGGAAATGCAGGCATGACAACAGTAACAATGACTTCTCCAAGTTAGTCTAGCCAGGGTTCTAGACAGAAGTGTGAATTTGCATCTAAGAGCACAGCACAACACAAAAGCAAAGTCGCAGTAAACATCTGTTCATGGACTTGGTTTCTGAAGGCCTTTGCCATTAGCTTTCAGACTTATGTACTGTCATCCACAAGGTGCAAGGTACATCCCAACAATCAAAACCATCAATGATCAACACCTTCATTACCATTCTGCTTCAAGATTAAAAATTTCCAAAGTTGCCTTTACTCAAGATGTGAACATTTAAGGAACTCATTGAAGCTTTCAAAAAGCCAGGTTCACAAAAAAAAAAAAAAAAAAAAAAAAAAGGTATCAGGAAGCACAGAAGAAACTGAAGCCAAACAAAAGTAGCACATACTTTACAATGATCGTGAAAGTAGTAGGAGATATCTTACCAAGTACCCCAAGCCGATAGTTGACTGTGATGACAATCACATTGCCATAGCTTGCCAAGACACTCCCATCATACAGATTTCCAGTACCTTCCATGTAAGAGCCACCATGGATGTACACCATCACTGGTTTGGGACCCCCACTGTCCCGAATATCTGCAAAACAAATGGTTGGCAATTATTGTTATCCCCAAACAACATGTGTAATGAAACACAGTATATTGTTGCATTTTAAGGAGAGAAGGACATGATTTTAATGTCTTTATATTGCTGTTTTTTCTCAAAATGTTTCTTAAGCAATTCCTACTAATAGCTATTTATGAAAAGAACAACAGGCACCCATTGTTTTCTGTCTAAACCTTAGTTTTCAAGAGATGGGCATGCTATTCACGGACTATTAAGTAAGGACAATGATTCATTTCTATCTAGAGTCAAGTCATCAATCCCTCTTCTATGACTGTGGAGCTTTGTATCAAATACATGATTACATTACGTCATTTGTGGTCCCATTTGTGAGTATAATTAGGTCATTGCATTATTTGTTTCGGAGTTTAATCTTCCTGCTTAAGTACTGTCAAATGATTGTTTACACGGCAAAAGTGTGTGCACCTGAGAACTTGTGGTTGATACACTTACAGAATGTGATAGAAATGCTGCATCTAGAGTAGTTACAGCATTCATTCATCCAACCCAAACCTAGTCTTTGGAAGAAAACAATAAAAACAAAGTATATTCATGCTACTTCCTACAGCAAATGGGCTCCTCTCAGCATTTTTTGTGCCATGGTTTTAATCATGTAGGTGTGCTTTGATCAAGCTAAGTTCAAGTACAGAATGGCAACATCTAGTGACAGCACTGTGATTTTCTCCCAGTCTGAGTTTCAGTATTTTGCTAAGATTCACTGACCACAAGTATGTTATGTGATTTTCAACAAGAATGTAGAAATACCAAAAACAACCAAAAAGAAATATGACCAAACTGATTTTATATATTTTAAAAACATAGTAATTTCTGCTGAAATGGCTAACCTGTATTTTGGTTCACTCACAAATATGGAACATATCAAAACATGACTGTAAATAAAACAGTGCTATTTGAGACCAAGTTGTGTTCCTGTATGCTCATAAACACCTCTGTATCAAGTATATTTTGTTTAATATTGGTTTGAAAGTGCTGTTTGAAAATACAGTTTAATTTCTTTACTTTAGAATATTTTAATCAAATTAAATTGTCCTATAAACTTCCAGGTAAGATATCAGCTTCCAGAGGAGGCATGTTATAGATCACACGGAGAATTGAGACAATTTAGAGACTGTTTCGCCCTCCTTTTAGAAAGAAAACATGAATTTAAGTGCCACATTTGTTTACTGTGATAGAGGAATTTCTTTGAATGAAAAGTCATTTTTAAATCAAAAAGGACAGTTTCTCTTGCTTATTCAGATTTCCATGTTGAGAAAATAGCTCATGGCAGAACATGAAGTCTTTCTTTGTGTCTGTCTGTCTGTCTGTCTGTCTGCCTTTCTTTCTTTTTGAGGTAATCAATTTTCAGGCAAGAGTTTATTTATTTATTTTTAGTTTCTTTAACTTTATAATTGATTTTTAGTTTAGCACAAAATTAATGGGCTTCCTTATGACAACTTCATAAAATAGTCATTAGGCTTGTTGCAAATTGCCCCTTAAAGAAAGATCAATTTAACATGAGCCAATGCCTGTGTGTATGTGTGCATTCTTGCCTCCCTCCTGGATATATGAATTTCACGCTAATGTGCTTGATCTGTATTTTATATTATAATCATCTGCTAGGCATAGTCATTACATTTATCTTCTCCTGAAATTGTCAGGCAAAAGGTACTGTCTCTTTTTAAATGTCAATTATTTTATTTTCTGTTTCTGGGTATTTTTCCTTCATGTATACCTGTGTGCCTAGTGACTGAGCTGCCAAAGACAGTTGCTATTTGCATGTGGGCACCATGAGTTGAACCCAGTGCTCTAGAACAAGCAGTGCTTTTAACCACTGAGCCAACTCTCCAGCTCCTGCGTTCCCTCTTATATGAAGATTCAGGGGCTTGTGGAGTTGTCAGATTAAAAAAAGGGAGAGTAATTCTTTTCCTGATTGTTAAACTACACAACTAAAATACCTGCTTGCCACATAAAATTTTAGCTTCTTATTTTTCTTGTACAGTTGGCATTGAAGAAGCAATACTAAATTATTAAACTGAAATCATTAGCCAAACTGTTCGCAGCAGACACTGTACTCTGCTAATTGTATGCTTGGAGGTAGCACAGAAGGAGGCTGTTTCAGAATTCTCCTTTAATTAAAATTACATAGAATTACAAAGCACCCACTGTGAACAGTAATGAAGTCTTGGTAGAGCCATTCTGTTCACCTGGAGGACAATACCGGCACACATTGAGAAGACTAGCCGTGCACCTTGAAGCAGATCCACCTGAGCAGTGTCGAAAGTGCAAACATGTCAGCAGAAGCTAGGGTTTGTACCCAAGCAAGTCTCTTTCGTTTTCCTTGAAATTTATACTTGAAGGAATTACAGATATTAGGGGCAGTTTGAATTTCCAAATTAGTTTTTCAAACTTTTCAGAGGGTGTGGTCTTGCCTAAAAAGTTAGAATATTGAGCTCTTCTTGTTATGAACTTATTTTTTTTCTTTCAAAGGAACACTGAACTTGAATAATATAACATGTGTTGATTCCTAAAATAAACTAAAATTACAAAACTTAAGCTAATTTAGTATATTAAAAACCTTTAGTATACATAAGAATCTTCTATTATAACCAGAATTCTCAGATACTGGCAAATTTTATACCTGAGTGCCATATTTTTACTTGTTTGCACAGTCTCTAAGTCTTTTTTTGTTAATAAAGACTAGTTGAAGTTTTAAGTATTTATTTTGGTTTTAAACAAAATAAAATATTGATAAATGGAATTAATAAATCAGACATCATAATATGCAGTAGTATCTGGTCATGCTCTTTAACAATCACATGTTGTCAGTTTTTCTACCCCATTGTCAGCTCATGTATTAAATGTTCTTAAGTAGTTAATAATGAATATTTTAGAGCTACAGTGTTTTTGAACCTTCCTTATTATTTTATTTCCTATATAATAGATAATAAAGTATATCAATTTTGTTCTTTACCTACAAATTTTTGCTTTACATAAATAGCTACTTCAGTCTTTACTAAAGTGGGCCCTTCATGAGTTCTTAGAATACTAGCTTAGTTCCAGTCAAACTGTACATTTTTATAAGCATATTCATAATTCTGTCATTTTCTTTAGTTCTTGTTAAACACAGGAAGTTTAAGAAGAGCAGAATTGTGAAGGAAACCTTCATTAATGATTAGGAAACCTCTTAAATATTAATAAAGAATCCTAAGGGGCTTTTTCCAGGGAAATTATATAACGAGATTTTGAATATGAACCTTTACACTTAGTAAGCATCCTACTTACAACTAGTATTTTAGACCAACATACAAAGTGTCAATGAGCTAGACCAGTTCATAGGAGAGTCTATACATGATATGTAGGACCCAGTATTACAGCTTCTCTCGATGGTCCCACTGAATAATTGCACATAATTCCTTAAATATGTGCTTTTATTTCTTTTTAAGGGGACATGAACTGGTTAATTGCCCATATTTTAGAAGTTTTGAGATTTAATAGCTTTTAACATGTGAAGCATTGCCTTAATTAAGTTTCTTGTTTGATACATATAAAGAGACGCTTAAAGACATGTCCGTGCCTTTTGTTCATGTTTATGGGTGCCAATTATTTTTTAGACCTGCTAGAGTGAAAGAACATTTGGCCTAATGTGTTCTTGTTAACCCAGGCACAAAACAAGCATGTAGTTTGGTTACAAAATATATGAGAATCTACAGAGAGACTTGTAGGGAACTTGAATCTATATGGTGATAATAAATTCCATCTAAATATTTAAATGCTAATATTGAGATTTTTGGGCAAAATTAAATATATCTCTGTAATCTTCGAAGTATTAAATTGAGAGAAATCTTGGCTACTGTTTTGAAATATTTTAGGACTTCAGATCAGCCAATAAAACAGAGTTCTTTTGATTATTATAAGTCATAAGTTGAGAACAATGTGTCTTATTTGGCATGTAGATTATTGCAGATGAGGAGTTAGCAGTACCCATCTCTATAGAGAAGCCTGTAATACTGAAAAAAGTGAATAAAGGATAAAGGATGTTGAGTGTCAAATGGGACACAGAATGCAGTGCTTGATGAAACACGGCTAGTGAATTAGGGCATAGGGAAGGTGTGGATAATTGCCAAATAACCTGACTTTCAGTGATGGATAAAAAGCACTATAATTTATATCCTTTGGTCTCTGTCCCGTGATGCCAATTCAACATTTGTCACAAATTCTAACTAGATATTAGATCATTTTGATGTGTTTCACATCTACAAAATAGTTCTTAGAGCACTGAAGAGGGGACATTCAGAGTTTACTAAATGTTTTCTTAATGCGATATCTGAATGGGCCTTTCATGTTTCTGAAGTAATTGTGAAATGAAGCACAGAGGAATGGGATCCATTGGAACTGAGTGCTAAGGCAGGATACAGCCTTCAACATTTAAAAGTGTTCCTTGACTTGGTAGCCCTGGCAAATGGCTTCCCATGTCATGGTTGAGACCTGATATTTAAGCAGCTGTTTAGGGTACTTTTAATAATGAACTAAAAATGTCAAAAGTGATTCAAAATTGCTCTGTAAAATAGATGCAGGTGCAGTACAGATAAATTCACTATTAATACTCAGAGGTCCCTATTCCAACATGTAAATATATGGGAACAATCTCACTCAATGGGAAAATCATCGAATTAAATCAGCAAATGAAAAAAAAACTAGAGTGATGATATTGTAGAACTATTACTATAGTACCAAATTTTGGACTTTATAAATAACCCTCAAAAGCAATTCTTTATAGTAACAATGTGTAGGATATTGGATTGTCAGAAAAATTTACATATTTTACATTTCCTTATAGCACAAACTGGGAACATCACCCATGTCCCAGATAGACTAGAAATATTCTGAATGTTTGACTCTATCAGACCTAGTATAGATTTATTCTTTAACTATTTAGCACTGGAAATTATGTGTCTTAGCAGTGACTTTTAATT